AGGCAGAGGCAGGTGGATCTCAGTGAGGCCGAGACCAGTCTGGTCTACAGAGTGAGATCCAGGACAGCTAGAACTACACAGAAAAACCCTATCTTGAAAAATCAATAAAAGGGGGGAAAAGTCCCTCCTCCCCTGCCTCTGCACTGCTTGTTTCTGGTTTGGATTAGGGACTGTGTGGCCTGCTGGGTGCTTTAATAAAGCTGGCTAATTATAATCTGAATTGAGTCTGGTGGTCCCTCCCCTGGAGTCTCAAACTCCGTAACAGTTTCTGTTTCTTCTGTTTCTGTTTCCTTGGCTCCTTCTGCTGCTCCTCCTCTCCCTCTCCAACCCAGTGGGGGAACTCACAAGGCAGGCTGCTGGCATTTTTGTGTGCACTGCACATTAGCCAAGTCAGGTCTTCCAATCGGAGGCTTTAAGCCTATTCCTAGGTCTGTCTAGGACTCTCTCTTAGATTAATCAGATCTTTCACTCCAGTGTCCTCTAACTGGATACTTTGAGCTCTGCAGTCAGTGATGATCTGGAAACACAGGATACAAAGGGGGTTTTAGATGCACCGGTCAGGATGAAGGCCTTCACTTGATGTCTCATCTTCAGCTTTGTGCCACTTAGTTTATACTTGTTTACCTCCAGGGTAAACTTAGTTTATACTTGTTTACCTCCAGGGTTCTCCAGACTGGGAAGGGGCAGTCTCTAAAAATGCCTGGTGAGGATTTCCACAATACACAGTCTCCCTTTCACCTCACTGTCAGTTCTACAGGGCTCTGTTGATTCTTCAGCACCCCAGGTTCTCTGAGCTCACTGCTGTGAGCGCATCTTCCCCTCACACAGCCTGTGTGAACTGCTTTCCCAGAGCTTTGAAATCATTCTACATTCTTCTTTTCAGATTTCCAGTTTGTAGTTTGGGGGTTGGCTTTAGGGTGGGGCTTTTCCCTTTTTATTGTTTGTGTGTTAATGACTATTTTATTCAGGCATTTTAAATGTCAATTTTGAAAGTTTAGGCAAACAACAACAACAATTCACATGTATTTAGTCTCCAATGTCTAATTTCCCCTATGGATTTCCACACAGCACAAACCCTGTGCTTTGGTGACACTGGCAATCAGTGCCGCCTTTCTCTGATCATAAGCCACAGGAGGATTTATAATCCCTTGTCAGTAAAATTAAGGCCTTTCCTTTCTTGTTCAATAGACAACATTCAAAAGGCGGAAGAAAAAATGACTTCCAAGCCCAGAGGGACTCGTTTGTATCTCTGCCTATGGAAGAAACTTGGAAAACAGATCAAACTTAGAGATTCCATTATACAAAGGAAATCCACAGATAATTGAACTGTGTTCAGGAAATGTAGCTTGTGAAGAGGAGGGCTTATGCAATAGAACAGGGGTCCTCTGGAGGGAAGCCTCCACATCCCATAATGATTATTCTTGCCGCTGGCTATTAGGTTCTTTGAAAAGATAGGGAATTAAAGTGGCTCCCACTTAGCCAGTTTGCCAGAGCAGATACAAAGATGGCATAGAATGCCATCTGAGAGTCTCACCTCTGTGACATTCCAGCTGTGCATATCCCCCTCTCTGAAATTGCCATTTTCACATGAATGGGCACAGACATTATGCCCAGCCCAGCACGTCTGACTCATTATTGCAGGATGAATGATGCTGTGTGATTCTGCCTGGGGCTGCTAGAAGAAAGATGTTTTCTCTGGATTTCATCCTTCCCAACAAGTCTGTATCCCTTGGTTTCACAACTATTAAATTCTAAAGTAATGTTGATGCTGAAGGGGAAGAAAATTATTATGACACAGGGAATGTTAATGAAACCTGCCACTTACAGCTCTTGACTTAGCAGGGCATCACGGAATCCTCCTTTGTGATATTAAAAACTGAGGAGTTTTATAAATTCTGTTTTGGCTTCTCTTCACTCTGTTCTTCTCTCCCTCAAATATATGCTATATACAGTTGCAAGACTAATTTTCCTTTCCTTTCCTTGGTTTCATTAGAATGTTCTTTTATAATCACTAACAGCAACCTATGATAGAATGAACTTCCAATGCATCCGCCTAGCATTTAAGGTCTTCCAGATAGCAGACAGATTGATCTCCTAACATGATGCTCACTTCCATTCATTCAACATGTATAGGGGAGAAATGCAAAGTCCCTGCCATCTAGAAATGCAAAGACTAATGGAGAGGATGAGTTAGTTCAAGGCTGAGTTAATGAAGTGGGAATACAAGCCACAACCAGAGCACTTGGTATGGGATGTGAAGATGTGAGAGCCTGATCTACATGGAGGCTTTATAGACAAAGAATTGTGGAGTGAAAAAAAAACAAGCTTAGAAAATCTAGTCAGATGACAGGTATCCAACATGGGGTGGCCAGAGCACAGTCCCCCAGTAGAGAATATCATCCTCCTTCTCAAAGTCCTCCTAAAGATCCAGTTCAAGGATCCCCAACCTAGGATGCTTTTCCAAGGCTGTTTTGATTGATGTCTTGGGACAGGACAGCCTTTGTGCTACTGTTATTCTGTCATTGGTCCTGGTCCTGGGGTCTCTGCTCACATTGGCCTTTGGTGACAGCAGGTAGGAAAGGAGACATAGCCTTCTAGGTTAGGGCTAACGAATGCTTCCTTCTGAGTCACTAGAAACTTCATAATGGATATAATGGGCACAAGCCCACAGTGGTGTATTTTTTCTACTTATTTAAAAAATTAATTTATTCAGAAACTCCTGAGAGTATCTCAGAATGTAGTGGGACCTGGGCGTCCTTGGATGCTTTAGTGACATTCTGTATCACAGCACTCTCCACAAGGACAAGAGACCTGTGAGGGATCCCATTATTCAAGCAGTTTGGGGGCTATAAATCTAGAAGTAAAAGGTTCATTAATCCTTTGCTATCTTCTATTTTTCTTAAACTCTGAATTACTTTGTTCCTTCTCATTAAACACAGCTGCTATGCAGCTTCTTGTTGCAAGCATGAGCTGAAAGCAAGCCTAACCCAAAACAACGGTTCATTAAACATTTGCTGTGTGTGTGGTGCTGTATGTGGCCTGTGTTTGTAGGCAATAACTATAGAGGGGGAAAATAGAACTAAGTCTCTTCTCAGGTGGCAAATGATTGATTCTAAAAGGAAAGAGTTTGAGTCCATGAGATCCAAACCAAAGAAATAATAAGGATCATCATTTTCTCACCAAGAACACGAAGTCAATTTCATCATGCTTAAAGGCATTCAGTTATCTTCTCAAACTGGAGGAGGTGGGTTGCTGATGTCCTGAAGTGAATTTCTATGCCTTGCTGTTTGGTATGAAACCACTCAACACAGTGAAAAGAAGGTGTGCACAGATCCATCGAATAATGCATTCCAGTGCTCATCTACTGCACTCCAAGTCTATCATTGCACAGGCTCACTGTATTCTGAAGTTACAGGCTTTCCTTTGCTGGAACTTGGCAATGCTCATTCATCTGACACTGTACACATGGCTGAAAATTCCATGATATTATGGAGATGTCTTGATAGTCATGTGTCCATTAATTTGTTTAGAAAAATTGGTCTTACAGAATAAGTTATCATCACCTAATTCAAAACCCTTACTGCACGGTCCCAAGATGTTTCATAAGGTATATTTAGAGGCTTAAAGTGATATCTTAATCAAGGTATGTCAGAAGAGCAATAGTTTTGCCCTTGTCAGTGTTGCAAGGCACCAACAATGTCAATTCTGTAACATACTAAATGTTTGAATTATTCCGACATCACTTCATCTGCTTGTAATGCAATCTTCTCATTGGCACTAGTCCTTTATTATGTTGTTAATTTTCTTCTTAGTGATACATACTGGTAGCACTAGCTCTTAAATCTCTCTCATCGCTCACTTTTCTCCATTTCAAAAATAATCTGGCTTGCTTAATTAATGCCTAATCTTTCCAATATAACTACTATCATTTGATCTAGTAAAGCTTTTTTTGATCATTGCCATATTTTCAGATTATATTGATTTTGAAGATAGGCCATGACTTTAAATTCCACTTTACCATATTTAATATTTTACTCTTCAGAAACCCATAGACAAGTTATTTCCCTTTCTCTGCATTTATTTTGTTGTGCCTTACAGTTTAGTTTCAGTGACCATGTTTTATGTATGTAATAGGTCTTAGCTACTTAAGGATTAATATCTTGTTAAATATATATTAATATCATCTATATTGTCTTTTAAACTCTTCTTTACTTACTACATTCTCAATTCACATTTGTTGAATACATGACAGACAACATAATAAAAGGTGAGATTTTTTTTCCAAAGCAAAAACCCTAGAGAGGTCCTTGGCATTTCTTTAAAATCTATTAATTTATGTAATTAGCTTTCTCTAGAATAAGCAGAATGACCCCTCAACTGCCTTTCCATAAGTAAAGCATTCAAATGCAAGGTGGAGCCAGAGGAACCCCACAGAAGAGGGGGAGGAAGAATTATAGGAGTCAGAGGGGTACAGGACACCACAAGAACATGGCCCACAGAATCAACTAAGTAGGGCTCACAGCAGCTCACAGAGCATGAAGGGACAACTGGGGAGTCTGCACAGGTCTACACTAGGTCCTCTGCATGTTTGTTATGGTTGTGCAGTTTGGTGTACTTGTGGGAGTCCTTACAGTGGGAGTAGAGGTGTCTCTGACTCTTTTGCCTGCTCTTGGGACCCTTTTCCTTTTACTGGACTGCCATGTCCAGCCTTGATGTGAGGGTTTGTGCCTAGTCTTATTGTGTCTTGTTATGCTGTGTTCATTGATATCCCTGGGAGGCCTGCTCATTTTTTGAAGAGAAAAGAGGAGTAGATCTGGGGGAAAGGAGAGAGGAGACTGGGAGGAGTGGAGCAAGGGGAGGCTGCAGTTGAGATGTAATGTATGAGAGAGTAATAATAAAAAGAACGTATAGTATACTTTCATAGTATAAATAGTATAAATAAAAATTAAGAGTATAATAAAAAGTATAGCATAATCAGAGATATAGAAAACATTAGTTGCCTTTCTTGACGGGTTTGCTCCTCAGTAGTTTCCATGGCACATTCCAAAGAGTTCTGGAGAGACTGCAACTGATTTAAGGTCTCCTTCAACAGAAATCGAGTGACAAATTGTTCCAAGTTGGAGGCTTCTTGGTAGTCCTATGGGTTACAAAACAAATGTAATTAGAAATTCAGTAGCGACAAACTCCAGGAATAGATTTTCCCCTCAAGTACCCATCACTTTGAGACTAATCCTTGGAAGGGAGAGTGGAGAGAGGAAAGAGGCTTGGAAGTCTGCAGGAGGACGCTATCCACCTGCCAGAGGCTGAATCTAACAACAGTCTCAACTGTATCACTTCTCATTGCAACTGCCTAAAGTTTATCAAGGACAAATTCTAGCAAAATTAAGTAATAGATATCTGTGGGAAAAGAAAACATTTCTGGAAAAAATGTTGGCATGTAGCTAACTTGCTTTGTTTTGTTTTATGTAAACAATGACCATGACATCATATATTTTCTCTTTTTCAAATATATATATATATCTCACCATGTTTCAACAAGTGCCTTAGTTCATTCTTGATGCAATTATCATGCTTTTATCTGTATTCCAGAGAAGGCAGAGAAATTAGGTGTAGTTATTTTAAAATCTGGAAAATGTTAGGATTGGAATATTTAAAGACTTTACTCAATCTGTTCATGTCTTGCTCAGCCATGCTAAAGACTGCAGCTAACTTCTATGACAAAAATTCCTTCTATTCCACCAGCCACAGGTTGCCATGGAGCTAGTAATGGCTTTCACACAGCTTCTCAAGGCAGGTGAGTAAGCTCTAGATCAGTGGTTCTCAACCTTCCTAATGGGCCCTGAGACCCTTTGATGAAGTTGCTTGTGCTGTGGTGACCCCCAACCATAAAATTATTTTCATTACTACTTCATAATTGTAATTTTTGTTATTGTTATGAATTGTAATATAAATATCTGTGTATTCTGATTGTCTTATGTGACCCCTGTGAAAGCCGTGTTCAATCCCAAATGGGTCACGACTCACAGGTTGAGAATCATTGCTCTAGATGCTACTAGCTGCCACCCTGTAATGTCTCAGGGAGAACCAAGGAAGAAAGCTAGGTTAGTAAGAATGCAATGGCAGCAGAGTCTCCCTTTCATTTTATAAGAAACCAGTTAAATCTGACTTTTTAGCATCCAGTAGTGCTGTGGTTTGAATCTCAAATGTCCCTTAGAGGCACATTTTGAATGTCTGTTTCCCAGTTGGTGGAGTTATTTTCATAGGCTGTGCAAACTTCCGGAGACGAGTCAGTCAGAGCCAGAGGAAGCAGGTCACTGGTGATCGGCCTTGAAGGTTGTATCCCATTGCTGGTACCAGTCACTACCAGCTGATTGGTTCACTGTCATCTGAGAAGCTTCTGCCACATTCTCACAGTGCCATGGACTTGCTTCTAGACTGTGTTTTTCCTACTCTGTCATGAGCCAAAATAAATCTTTCCCCCTTAAATTGTCTCTGTCAGACAGTCTTGCCACAGTGATTCAGGTGGGAAGGGTATAATTCAGTTCAGTCAATGAAAAGATTTATTTGCTTCTGTCCCTAAACAAAATGATATTTTTCATGATGGAAAATACAAAACCAAAAGGAATGATGATGATGAGATGCTGCCATGAATCACGATGTTCTGGGAAATTGGAAGGTATGGTTGCAAATCCAAACAAATGAAATATAGTTATTTAACCTTTGGGGACCTCATCCTTCTTGCTTGAAAATTAGGCTAAGTAACTCCAGCATGCAATACAAACTCAAAATATTCTGTGTGTCTACCAATTCTAATTATAAATTCTTTGCTTGTGTCCTTCCGTTATAAACTACTTTTTCCTGTCCACAAAATAACATCATAGAAGATTTCATCTAGCAAAATTTTCAGTCATTGGCCTTTAAAAAAGCCCATTCCTTAGAGTTGAAAACCCAGACATTTTTCTTATCCACAACCTAGCAGCTTCACTTAAGAATTCAAAACTGTCCTTAAACTCTACTTTTAAAAAAAAAACAACCATAAAATACAATGTCCCATGCTTACAATAGACATAAGAACTTTGGATAAGTTGAGTTAAAATACACAAAATACCTCATTCCATCTCAGAGGCTACTAATTGCTTCACAGAATTATTTCTCAGTAATTTTTTTTTTACAACCAAAGGAAGCTTCCCATTGACTGGATGTGTTGATGGAACAAAGGCTCATTGGATTCTTACCCTGCAGCTGCTCTCATTTTACCAACACATATTTTAAAAATAAAATTTATTAAAATGAACTCAAGACACAATTGCACAGCCAGAGATTCTGCCAACTCATCTGCATCTCAGTGTAAACTGTGACTAATCCCAAACAGGATGGCAAGTTTTGTACTCATTTGCAGACAGCATTGAACAGCGAAGATCAGTGAGCAACGACTACAGTGCTGGCCTTATTTTTCCTCATTTAAATGTTAAATATTTGTCACTATTATATCAGACTAAAAAAATAATTTTTTTAAAAAGTTAGCCAATGGCAACATTCCAGTCATCATTTTTTAAATTTTAGCTTCTTATGCAGGGAGTACCATATATATGTGTGTATGTATATGTGTGTGTGTGTTTATATATATGTATGTATATATGTGTATATATATATATAACATGACCAAGGTAAATATTCACTTGATATTTTAGTGCCTTGCTTTGCAGATATATGTCTGCTCTAAACTTTTATTATATTGATATTGTTCCTATATATAAAGACATCAGTAAACTTTGATACTTTAAAAATTATTAATTTTTCTTTGACAATTTCACACACATATGATGTATCTTCATCAGTTCACCACTCACACACTTATCTCTCAGAAATGTTGAGAGCCTGACATTGACAAGAATGGGAAGTGAGATGAGGCTTTAGGAGATTAAGATTTTTTTAATCAGTTCCAAAAGATTGCTGCCATGTGATGTGATGCTCTTAGGTATGAGAACAAATAACTTGTCTTCTCTTAAAAACGTTAAGCTAATTTTTGTTAGCATACAAAGCAGTGCGTTTCATGATGGCATTTTCATACTCCGTCTTCCACTGCTGGTCTCCCTACTCAGGACCCTCCCTTCTGACTTCATACCACATCTAATTCTGTTATCCTCTCTTTCACCCCCTCATCTCCTTGATAGTTCACCCACCCCTCTATGGTTCCCTTTCTAGTTCATCACACACACACAAACACACACACAAACACACCTAAATAGAACATGCATTTTTTGTCTTAAAATGGGGCTCCCTTGTGACCATTCTTGGGCACATACCCAAATGATTCTGAGTCCTGACATGATGCTGCACTATTCACAAGAGTCAGGAAACAGAACTGGTTGAGGTGCTCATCAACAGATGAATGGATAGAGAATACAGTACACAGACACTGTGGGATTTCACAAAGCCATGAGAAAAAAAATTAGGATAGATGGAACAGGAGATCATTACTCTAAGTGAAAAAAGACCTTGATTTCTAACATTCCTGTTTATCCTCCCAGGCTGACCTCACAGCACTGTCTTCATAGCCTTTACTCACCTGGACCCATCATTTATTTTTACACAGTCACTTTCCCTTCTGTGTCCCTGGAACATTTTTTCTTTACTTGGGGCATAGGATTTGGCATTTTACATTGTGATCTTGTGTCACGTTCTTAGGTGTAAAGATTGTATCTTTTTCTTCTCTGTTTCCTAAGTGTTCAGAATAGCTCCTGGCCCACACCGGCTGCCCCTGAAATGGTTAAAGAGTGTGTGAAGAACAGGAAACTAGGTAAAGATCTTGGGAGCCAGAAGGAATGCTTGAGCCCTGGGTGCTCGAGAGGGTTGCAGTTACCAGCTGCCTCCTGCAGGCGGCTCTTGCGGGTACTTGCCGCTGTCTGCTTGCACTGGCCGCTCTCTGCTTCCTGTGGTTCTGCTATAAAGGGAAGTACAGCTTTGCTCTCAGCAGACTGTTTGTCCTCATTTCATTTTTTTTTTTTTTGGACCATTTGTTAGTCTTCTCTCCTTTCTTTCCTCTGGATCCCATGATTTGAGACTGCAGACCCAGGTGGCACAGATCCAACCTCCTTCCCTTCTCCCACACACGCGCAGATGTTCCTTTGGAAGGCAGTGGCAAAGAAGCAGATGGAAAATTAAATAGATAGCAAGCTGGGAAATGTCAAAGCCTGGACCTTTTATCCTCAACAAATGTATTGATGGAGAAGTACAAAAAGCGATCTTTGCATTCCTGTCTCCCCAGAAGACTGGAGTGCTGGTATTTGATACACGTTCATCTGAGCAAAGCCTAGTGTTTCCAAGAATGGAGGGAAGAATCTATAAAGCATCGGATAGCAAATACTGGGTGTCTAGATTCTTCTTTCTCAGACATTGTTCAGTCTTCCTGACTATTATGAAGGTTATGGAGAAATGAGAGCTGATTCTATTTCTCAGATCTAAATGATTTTACTCAAGTCATTGGTAACTGAATCATTATAAGGAAATTGTTAGCCATATGCCCTTAAAATTTCCATTTTTGCCAAAATGCCAGCATCTCAATTTTAGGTTATTTATTTATTTATTTTGTGTGTGTGTGTGTGTGTGTGTGTGTGTGTGTGTGTGTGTGTGTGTGTGAGAGAGAGAGAGAGAGAGAGAGAGAGAGAGAGAGAGACTGAATCAGGGCTTGCATTTGTTCAAGTGAAAATCCCAGGGTTTGAAGCTAACTTGAAAATTGTGTTTCTTAGGGGACTGCCTGTGCATCTTAATTGGGAGATCATTTGTCAGCAAGCGAGCACAGCACATCTGCATGATGGAGAGTGGAGAACTTGGCTGTTAACCCAATACGCGTCACCTCGGTTAATCAGGAAGTTGGAGTATCAGACTTGCTTGTTTGTATTTGCCATATGTGAGACGTAACTAAGTCAGTGGAATCCAGCCACAACGTCTCCTTGCTGAGGGCAGTTGGCAGGGCTACTGCTTTTATCTCCCTCTGCAACAAGCCTCCAGAACCCACACTGCTCTGGTGTGAGACATCGTCTTTATTTTCAAACATTGTTCAGTCTTCCTGTCTATTAAAAGGTTATGGAGAAATAAAAGCTGACGCTATTTCTCAGATTCAAATCATGTTTACTC